CCAGCGGGGACTCCGCCTCATCTGGTATAAGATCTACACCCTACCGATCATAACAGACCGGTCATTTGAATTCTCCTATTGTAAGCTACTGCAATTTCCAATACTGGTATTCCCATTGAGCAGGTCGTCTTCTGAGAGTTAGTGTGCCTAGCAGTTGGAGTATCTTTACAGTTGGTGTTTATCAACGCAGGATGAGATACCGACCAATCAGCATCGAAGATGTCAGAGTCGCAAATTCTTTATAATAGTTACACCACTACACGAAGATTAATAAAAGGCAATCATTCTAGACCACCCTGCATGCCATAGATATGCATACCATTTCTTGGATATATATGGCTTGGTCAAGAATTAGCTGAATACTGGGACACAATGTCGCATCGAGGCGAAACAGGTCTGTAATTAGCACAAACATTTATCACCCGTCCAACACTGTTAACACCAGGTTGCTGCAAGGAAACGGCACTGTCCAGGAGCAACGTGTACATGCCCAACATATTATAGTCCTATGGCACCCAGTCAGGCCAAATGGAAAGGCGAGGCAAAGTGATACGTTTGGGGTGGAAGAGTTAATCGACGACAAAAGGACATCGACATCCATGTCCTTGCGGGAATCTAACACACAATTCTTCAATAAGTGATCACCTCCGCGGTAGCACATTAACGATCTGTGCCGTTCGGGCATGCAGTGCGCAAAGGAGGCTCCACACATTCGGTATTCGGCGAGTAGCGAGCGTACGCTCATCCAGAGTGGATGTGCTTGAATTTACCGAGAGACGACAATTCGGTGCTCGCACTACACAACGTTGGTCTTTTGGCCACATCATAGGAAACGAGCAATCGCCGAGCACATCAACCACTCGGCATATGGCGAGCACTACCTCGATGCTCGGCGTATGCCGAATGTGTGGAGCTGCTTTAATATTTCGTTCGTGGGCTGCAGTAGTGGGACAAGTCAAAAACTTAAGTGTTGAGATAAATGAGCTTGAAGTTTCACGTTGTATTGAAATGCATCATTCATGCATACTGCCATTTATAAGTGGAACACTGTACTGTAAGATATGCTTTTGTTTCTGATGAAAGGTAGACCAATGCGCACATCTGGAGAGTGCATTAACCAAAAATTCGTATTTTCTCCTTTTGCGCCATTATTGCAGCCCACAAGCAATTTCTTCTGAGCAGCGGCGAAATGTTCACGCTCTCAAGGCCTGCAATACGGGCGGGCCCAGATAAAAGAAGGCCTACTATTAGGCTGAAGCGTTTTGCGATGAAAATACACATTAATTACTTGATACATTCCTATAGTTGCTACAATAATGTTTTTAGGCATCTTAAAGAATACAATTTTCTTCAATTCGGTAGATTATCTAACAATGTTTCTAAATTCAAATGTTAAGCTATTCGTTTCGGTTTTATAACAATATTAATTTCAAAACTTAAATAATAAAGGAAGATATTTTTCCATTACTGATTGTTAATCATAGACTGAGGAATATCAAATTGATAAAAGATATATTTATTATTGCAAGTACTAACCCTACTAGTGTTTGTTACACTTGTATGAATTGACCGGACAAACGTTTTTAGGGCGGGCCTGCCCGCAATTCGTTTCGCTACTGCTTCAGAGACACCTGTTAGGGGTACGCACCTTGGCGGCATCGGGGTCGTTGGCGGCGGCGGCGGAGGGCGCGTCCTTGGTGTCGGGGTCGCGCTTGCGCTCGGGATCCTCTCGCTTGCGCTGCTCCTCCTTCAGGCGCTCCGCCTTGCGCCACTTGGCGCGCCGGTTCTGGAACCACACCTGCAACACCCGCGCACTTCACCACCTCGCACGCACACACGCATCAACACGCACAGAGACACGTTCGTAACGCACCGAGAGACTCCCTCCGAGCCGGGGGTTAATTACTTACTTCATACACAACCAAGACACCCAAATTTCTACCAAAAATTATATATTTTTATTTAAAATTAAGTTTAATTACAAAAATGTATATATCTATATAAGCGCACGGGAACATTTTAATGCTGTTATCACTATTATGAGACCAGTTTCTCTTCCAGACAAAAAGAAACAACTCGAGAAGCTCATGAAAAGGGTCCCGCAGGAGAGACACAGATTCAATAAATGCTGAAGTAATATATGAATCCAGGAGCAACAAAGTAACCTTGCGAGGGACGAGAGGAAAATGATGCCGCGGGTGAGATGCGAACTCACGCCCTTAAGTTTATGACACTTACGCGCTGCCTACTGCGCTACCGAAGCTGTGGGTGGGGGTGCTTTTCCCTCCCACTGAGAATTTAAGGTTACGAGGAACGAGCGGAAAATGATGCCCCGGGTGAGGATCGAACTCTCGACCTTAAGATTATGAGACTTACGCGCTGCCTACCGCGCAACCGAGGCTTTGTGAGGAGTTCTTTTCCCTCCCACTGAGAACTTAAGGTTGAGAGGAACTATAGGAAAATCATGCCACGGGAGAGGATCGAACTCACGACCTTAAGATTATGAGACTTACGCGCTGCCCACTGCGCTACCGAGGCTGTGGGTGGTGTGCTTTTCCCTCTCACTGAGAATTTAAGGTTGCGAGGAATTAGAGGAAAATGACGCCCTGGGTGAGGATTGAACTCACGACCTTAAGATTATGAGACTTACGCGCTGCCTACTGCGCTACCGAGGCTGTGGGTGCTTTGCTTTTCCCTCCCACTGTGAATTTAAGGTCGCGAGGAATTAGAGAAAAATATTGCCCCGGGTGAGGATTGAACTTACGACCTTAAGATTATGAGACTTACGCGCTGCCTACTGCGCTACCGAGGGTGTGAGTGGTGTGCATTTCCCTCCCACTGAGAATTTAAGGTTGCGAGGAATTAGTGAAAAAGGATGCCCCGGGTGAGGATCGAACTCACGACCTTAAGATTATGAGACTTACGCGCTGCCTACTGCGCTACCGAGGCTGTGGGTGCTCTGCTTTTCCCTCCCACTGAGAATTTAAGGTTGCGAGGAATTAGAGGAAAAGGATGGCGCGTGTGAGGATCGAACTCACGACCTTTAGATTATGAGACTTACGCGCTGTTTTCTGCGCTACCGAGGCTGCGGGTAGGGTGTTCTTCCCTCCCGTTTGAGATATTAAGCTTGCGAGGTAAGAGAGGAAAATAAATATTATTATTAAAATTCTCACCAGACTACCAGCAGACGCACTTTTCGCCGGTGAATAAATTGTTAGCAAAGGAGAGTAACAGTGAATAATAAATTACAATAAGTATTTTGTTTTTAAGTACTTTTATTATTTTATTTGATGTAGTTGCTGGTGTCCTATCATTGACGAGTTTTGTAATTTGGAATATTTTAAAATTTCTTTACATAATGAATGAAAATTTTAGAAAATGCGGTCCTTATGGCCGAGATCGCTATGGCAGGAGTTCCGTATGGATATCGAACCGAACAATCGCGTGTGATTCCCGCCTCGGGCATGGTTTTATTGTGTTCGCTCATCATCATATCGTGTCATCCTCATAGTTTCCATACCGTTACACGCAATAGTGGTTCCTGCTAATGACCTAGTAGTTAATGCGGTCATAAATAACAAAACAAAATAGTGAATAAAACTGAAATGAAAACTGCCGTAGCCACTAATTAACCTTAGTGACTCTAGGTTGCTCCTAATTTAGTTAAACGTCGTATTAATCCTGGTTTTGTTACGAAACGTACAACTACCCATAGTAACGTACTGGGGGTGCAGTGCGTGGCTGAAGCGCATCGGCGGTCGCGGGCGGGAGCGTTGGCGGGCGGCCCGCGGAGGCGACTGCGGGCGGTCGATACGGAGGCGGTGGGGTCGCGTCCGCGCGATCTCTTCCGCCCCGTCGCACGCCGCCCTCCGCCCTCTTGGTCTCTCTGCGGAGGGCCGGCCGCGCGCGCGGGCGAGGCGACGCCGTCGGCGGAGGTTTTGCCGCGGAGGAGGAAAGCTGAGGGCTCGCGCCGTGCGAATTGTTTGGGTGGACACAGTGAAGTCGATTTTTGTCGGACTTTCGGGTGGCCGACGGCGTACGAAGAAAATCAAACGAAACATTGGCTGTTGTTCCCTCCCGCTGAGAAAATAAGCTTGCGAGGAACGAGAGGAAAATGATGCTCCAGGTGATGATCGAAGTCACGACCTCAAGACGGAGGTTGGCGGAGTTCTGGGTTCGAGGGCCGATGTAGTTGGACGCCGTCGAAATATCCCGATCGAGTTTTATGACCATCCCTATTTACCGTTAAGTATTTGAACGCATGTGACCCATTCAACAAAAAGGTCCCGCGTCGGCTGATCGAAATTTCCTCCAAAATCGGCTCCACTCTGTCCGCCTGCTATTGGAGTGAATAGGTGGGTGGTGTTTGGGCTACGCGCTCTTTGTAACGGTGTTTATGTGGTGGATGGTTCATGAGCGTGATGATGGGAATGGGTTTTCAGTCGGGGATCGAATTGTAGTTCACATAAGTATTCGAACGCCGACTTCACTTGCAAATTTACTTTCTAGTCGGGGTTTGTGTCTGGATGTTATTTCGAAAATATTTTTCCCGGTACCAATGGAGGGTGCAAATCGGGATCGAGTTTATGTTTGCAGTTTAGTTCAATTCGGGGTGTGAGTCTGTATTGACGATGGAATTTCTGTGGGGTAGAAGAATTGTAAGCTTCTGGAAAGGTAACATGGAGTAAATGGAGAGAAGCGTACACTGAGTTTCACGTTCCTGGTTGCAATAGGGAGAAAATAATTGATTGAAACTAAAACAAAACAAAATTTCTAGTCACAATGGACTTGTTCTCATTTATTTTAAAAATATCAAATAATTTACAAAAAATATTTATTCTTTCATTTTCCTTCTATGAAAATTAATGGAATGAAGATGTGCTCAGTAGGGTGCGAAGTTTTGTTAGTAGACAAGTCCTGCGTATTGCCTTAATATATCTACATACTTAAAAAAACATTGGTGTAGATGTTACCAAAAATCTACAAAAGTCAAAACATTTTCGTATTTTGATTAACTCTGTTCCATTTTATGATTCTATCAAAGAAAATTGTTAACACATATCTTATGATATAATCCTTATAAAAACATTCTGTCACATTTCTTTCCTTTTCACATTCTGTGTTCCATTTGCAGTCGTCGCCTTTACATGAGAACGCATAAAGACGGAACGATTTCAAACGTGACACCATCATTTCTTTTTTCAGTTCCACTCGAACGCGCCGTGGCCTTATCCGATTTGCCTTGCGCGTAGCGAGCCGCACAATACGTTCGCCATCAGTGCGGCGCGCGTAACGTCGTTACAGAAGGGGTCTCGGCGGCGATATTTCATTGCAGCCACTCCCTCTAACGCGAGAAGGCACCGATAATTTCGCGCACGTGCGCGTCGCCCCGTTCGCTTACGCCGCCCCGCTTCCCCGGAGTTCCGCAGGGTTCCCCTCCGCGCCCTGGGACTCGAATGGGTAAGTGGATTTAAAAGCGCGACTCCTTGTTCAATCTACCTTCTGCCTTGGTACACAATCTCTGTGTTTGTGCATCTGTTTGAAAAGCTAAGAGCTAGTCTTTTTTTGGGTGAGAGAATGTTTGAAAATGTTTCGAAACATGTTTTGAAATATATTTCTTCTGTTTTGACTACGTGAGCCACAACAGAACTCATAGTTTTTAATGTAGTATTTCAATTTATTTTGTATTATATGTTTTATGCATATAGAATAATTTTAACTTTTTTTTTATCTGAGGAAGACCAAAACCTGTAGGTCGAAAAGGTCAAAGAATTTCCGTTAGTTAGGCGTGAAATAACGTATGTTTAATTGACTTCAACTAAAGCATCGTGGTAGTTGATGTGTAGGTTCGTAGCGGGGGATTTTTTTTACTAGCGAAGAATCTGCGACGTGAGCGCTTGGGATCTATTCTTAATCGTCACTTTCTGTATTCATCACTGCCTGGACATTATTATTCGGCTCTGGACGGTCGTTTCTGTGATTGTTTGCAACAAACTCCCAATGGATTCCATTGCAGTAATTTAAAAAGAAGGTTAAGAACCGCGCGAAATTCACCATATTTTACCTTATCCCTTCTCTCATACTTATTGTCTGGCAGAACCTCCAACCTCAATTATATTGAAACACCACCGATACATACGAATGTCAGAATTTGGATTTTAGCGTCAAATAAACAAAATCATCAGTTGTAACATTCCTATTTTTTGCATTATTAATCAATTCCATTATTTGACATGTATAAATTCGGAAACGATTTACTTACCGCCGGGGATGGGCAGTCTTGATCAAAATCATTTTAAAATAAGAATACGCAGATCTCCCATTCTATTTACTTCGCACAATTAACATTTTTGTGAGATTTAGTCCTTTAGTTGTTGTTTCATTTGAGAGCATTGTGACAACTTAGTGGTAAAACTCATTTCATGCTTCTCATACATATCTTAGAATTTCCCCCTAAACATCATTAGATTCAAATTTGTTAATTTATACATAATATATTAATAGGAAGCAGCACTAACCGCATATATAAACTGAGATACTTCTAGCTTTGTACAGACTTTGTTTTTTTTTCTAGTTTACAAACATTACAGAATTAAAATTTTACGACGACCCGACCTTTCAATAGTTAGTTTAATTCACCTAAGTAAAGACAATATGCTGAAATGCGGCAAATCACTAAAAACATTTAAATTTGTTTAGCATATTTAAACAGAGATATGCCTATCCTTATCCAACGTTTGTTCCTTTTCTAAACAACAACTTGCAAGTATTACAGAAA